GGATAATTTGACCACATTGCTAATAAATTTTACTTTCTGGATTAAATACATTGGAACGTCACTCAAACACTGTTTCACAGTGAGTACAATTTGTCAATGTGGATTCTGCTTTGGGACACATCTACATAGTTTCTAATAGGCCACAGATCCCCGGTAGGTTTTCTCACCCATAAGGAAGCCTTGTAGCATAGCTATCAAGGACTGATTTATAGGCCAGGTGTGGTGGCTCATGGCTGTAACCCCAACACTTTGGGAGACTGAGAGCAGATCACCTGAGGTCAGGAGTTCGAGACCAGCCTGGCCAACATGGTGAAACCCCATCTCTGCTAAAAATACAAATTATTTTTAGCCAGGCATGGTGGTGGGCGCCTATAATCCCAGCTACCCTGGAGGCAACAGAATCGCTTGAACCCAGAAGGTAGAGGTTGCAGTGAGCTGAGATCACGACACTGCACTCCAGCCTGGGCAACAGAGCAAGACTCTGTCTTTAAATAAATAAATAAATAAATAAATAAGATTGCTCTATAGAGGCTCCAGGTTTTCATTTAAAGGCGTGAGACACTTCCGGTATAGCAATTAAGGTACATAGATTTAACAGGTGGAGAGGATTAGGCTGTACAACAGCTTGCGTTTCCATTGCTTTAAATGGTTATTGGTTTCATCTTTTCCTTCATGCATCATTCAAACCACAGCATTTTAAAATAACTTCTAAGAAATAGCCAGATAGAGTTCCACATATAAAATACGACAATTTCAGAAATGGCATGGTGCCAAAATTTATTATCCAAAAAATTCTATTTGGCTCATGTCTACACTGTTAGAATCCTTTGCCCAAATCACATCTAGGGTGTAGGTTTAACTGTGACTACAGTCGCATATGCCTGGGGTGTTGAGAGGACTCCTGATATGACAGTTAAGGGGGGGCTCTGAGGTAGGATTCTTCCTGGGTACACAGTCAAACGCTGCGTATTGGTTTTCTACTGTTTATTAATATTGTTCTTTAAGAAGCTATTTTCTCTGATTAAAAAAACCTTCATGCCTTTTAAACTTCTGAAAGGTTTTAGAATCTGATTTTGTACGTTACATGCAACTATATATCTATTTTAATTGGTACTCTGTAGATGAAAATATTTGTGTATATATATATGCACATATATATGTATAACCAACTAAAAGAGTGCTTTTGCTGCTAGTGGAATATTTTGATACGCCAGGCTACTCCTCAAAGAGGAATTGACCTGATACGTATAGCAACACTTACAACTAACGAAAGGCTAAATCTGTGTCCAATGGGTAAAGAACTGGAAGGGTTCCCAATCGGACTTTAAAAGAAGCTTTTTTAAGGTAGAGCACAATGGCTCATGCCTGTAAACACAGGACTTTGGGAGGCTGAGGTGGGTGAATCACTTGACCCCAGGAGTTTGAGACAGGCCTTAGGCAACATAGTGAGACATAGTCTCTAAAAAAATAGAAAAATTTGCCGGGTGTGGTGGTGGGCACCTGCAGTCCCAGCTACTCCAGAGGCTGAGGTGGGAGGATAGATTGAGCCTGGAGTAAGCCGTGATCAGGCCACTGCACTCCAGCCTGGGCAACATAGCAAGGCTCTGTGTTGAAAGTTTTTTTTACAGCTTTAACTGACATACAGATGACTACATATATTTAAAGCATGCAACTCGACAGTTTTGTTTTTGGTTTTTTTTTTAAAGCAAAGTCTTGCTCTGTCACCCAGGCTGGAATGCAGTGGCACAGTCTCGGCTCACTGCAGCCTCCGGCTCTGGGGCTCAAGCGATCCTCCCACCTCAGCCTCTCAAGTAGCTGCGACCACAGGCGCACGCCGGCACGCCCGGCTAATTTTTTGTATTTTTGGTGGAGACAGGGTTTTCGCCATTTTGCCAGGCTAGTCTTGAACTTCTCAAGCTAACCTCTTGCCTCGGCCTCCCTAAGTGGGTTGGGATTACGGGTATGAGCAAAGGCGCCTGGCCCCAGAGTTATTTTTATAAACTTTATAGCATGTTTCCCCTTAAAACGTGCTGAAGGCCGGGGGCAGTGGCTAAAGACTGTAATCCCAGCACTTTGGGAGGCCGAGGCCGAGACGGGCAGATCACGAGGTCAGGAGATCGAGACCATCCTGGCTAACATGGTGAAACCCCGTCTCTACTAAAAAATACAAAAAAAACAAAACAAAAAAAAAAAAAAACCTAGCCGGGCGAGGTGGCGGGCGCCTGTAGTCCCATCTACTCGGGAGGCTGAGGCAGGAGGCTGAGGCAGGAGAATGGCGTGAACCCGGGAAGCGGAGCTTGCCGTGAGCTGAGATCTGGCCACTGCACTCCAGCCTGGGCGACAGAGCGAGACTCCGTCTCAAAAAAAAAAAAGTGCTGAAGTACTTTTTTATTGTCCCTCTTCTCCCACTAAACTGCAGTTTCCTGAAGGTGGAGGTTTTCTGTTTCCCTCACCACTGTGCACCCTCTGTTTGAGCACCCTCTGTATCGATGATTGTTGACTGAATGAATGAATACAATGAAAGAACTGGAGGTAGGAAATAAAGTTGTAAACTTGGTTAGTAAAAGGCTATGCAATTTAGGAAAAGTTGACTTTAAAGCAGAGGGATTTTTAGGGTCCTGTTTCTTCTTTCATTTGTCCATAGAATAACGTCTAACATTTATTTAGTACTTTCAAGCACTATACTAAGTACTTCACAGGTACTATAGAATTTAACTCCCGAGCAACCCCGTGGGGGGTAATCAAGCTTTATTATCTTCATCTGTCAACAGCCATCAATGGTGGAGAGCCAAAGTCAGGTTTAAGTAGGCCGTATCCAATTAATCCAAAGTAATGGACACCCCGTCAGTCAACAACTGGGGTTTTATCAACGTACTTTTCGGAGAAACCCCCTGAATTCCCCGCTTTACCTTTCTATCTTGGGACCGAAACCTACTCCGCGGTTGCTAACCCTGAAGGGAGTTTCCTGGAGAATCTGAGCACCCTTGGTGGAGAAGCTCAGACCTACGAACCGAGCAAGGCAATCTCAGGACTCCCGGAGTGCCGGAGAGGAAGGAAGAAACAGGTCAGTTGGCGCGAACTGGACTCTTGTGCTTCTGGGTGGCGAAAGGTGAAGGGACTGCACGCTTCGCCCACGCCAGCCTGGGGCTTGGGATCTCCTGACCCGACGGGGAACCACGGTGCGTTTCCCCAACTACACCGCACGTCACAGGGTAGGGCGACTTAGTCCCGCCCACCTTCTCCGCCCCCTCGTCAGTTTGGCGCTAGGACCCCACGACCCTCAACCCGGCCCTCTCCTCCCACTAGGGCCAGATCCGGCCTTCGATTGGTGCTCGCGCGCGTGATTCCCGCCCCCGCCCCTTCCGTCATTGCCAAGATGGCGCCGGTAGCGGTGGCCGCGGCGGCTGGAGTCGGAGAAAGAGGCGGAGGCAGTGGCGGCCGCGAGGGGAGGGGGAGTCCCGTCTGACTGAGACGGCAGGCCTGGGCGGGCGGGGGTGCCGCGGAGGGCGGAGCGCCGGGCTGGGGATGAGCTAAGCGGGCTCAGAGCGCCGCGGCATTCCGCCTCTCGTGTCCCGCTGCCGCGCGTGAGGGAATCCGGCGCGGCTCTTCAAGCTCGATCCGCTGCTCGCTCGGGAGCCAGCTGGGAGGTGAGTGCGGGGGCGGCGACCCGGGCAGCGGTGGCAGGTGGAGCTGTCACGGCCCGGAGAGGTGACAGCCGGGGGCGCGGGAGCGGGGCGGCCGGGCTCGGGGAGGCGGCATGGATGGCCGCGACCTCCGCCCGAGAGCTCTTGAGAGCCGGGAGGTCCTCCGCGGCTCGGTCCGCCCCGGGATGGCGTGGCGGTGCTGAGAGTAGCACCCGCGCCTCTGCGTCGGACGCGTGGGGGGCTCCTGTGTTTTCATTCCAGATTTTCTATTCCAGGCTGGCCTGGGGCTGTTGTTATTTGCGAGTGGGGGCGGGGAGGGGGAGGTCCTGGATCTGGGATTTTGACAAGCCCGTTACGTAAGTCGGAGGTGGCTTCCCGGAATCCCACCTGCTCGGTATCTGAGACAGGCGGCGGGGGGAGCCCGGGGTGCCTGGAGGCCCACTTTTCCTCCCAGGGTCTGTCCAGCCTTCCCCGGCCCGCGGGCACGGGTTCTGCGTGAGCGCGGCCAGCGTCCAAGTTGGCCAGTTTTTTTCTAGTCTTTTTGGGGATGGTGTGTGGTGGGGGAAGGGAACGGTTCCTGGTTACCACCATTCCCTTTGAAGTTTATCGCTTTCTGGAGGTGGGGGGGCAGGAAAAACAGTAAAAAGCTTGTGACCTACAATTGGGTCGCAGCGACAGCTTTTCATTATCGTGCTTTTAAATGACAGATGTGCTGGAAGATTTTTGTTGTTGTTCCAATGTGCTTTTAATTCAAACGTATGGTTACGCCTAGAGCCATAGAGGTTTTTGTCTTACAGGACAGTTATTTCTTGTTTGCAACAGCAGGACAGGCATCAGTCAACAGGCATGTATTTATTTAAGGAGAAAACGCGTGTCAGCCAGCTAGAGACCCGTGAGGGCAGAAATTGTATTACTCTGTGAATATGTTATTCTTTAAAATGTATTATACATTAATGAAAAGAATAGCCCGAATGTGAAAGAAGCGGTCTTGCAAGATTACAAGCTGTTATTTGGTGTGTATATAGTCTCATTCTATTTTCTGTTTACCCTAGTCTACCTCTTCTCTCCTTGGGGGAGGAGGTGGAGACACCTGTAAACAGTGTAGCCCCGGTTACACTAATCTATTGTAGTACATTTGGGATTATTTTAAAAAGTATTCTGGGGGACTTAAGATTGGGTAATAAGCAAGGACTCTTGAGCAAGTTATTCAGTTTATGTTGATAGTGGTTCTGGGATTCGACTTTTGAAAATTTAAGTGTACAAAATTTCTGAGCTGTTTGAACCCTGTTTGAACTTAAAATAAAATATTATATTTGGCTTCTTTTTCGAAAACTTTGTTTTGGGCAGAATTAAACATTATGGGCAATTTTTACTTCATTTACACAATTTCCCTTTGAACCACAGCTCTCAGTAGAAGTCCAGAATAGCATATGTTATCATCATTATATATAATATGTTACATAATTTTCTTTTTCTGAATGATTAAACATAGACCTACTTCACTGTGAAGTTTAATTTTTGTTTTGTATTATTTTTTAATCCCCTTCCATTCTGGGATCACTGTGAAGTTTTATAACAATGTACTTGCTAAGAAATTTAATTGATGTTGATACCAGTCGCAAATTGGGAATAAATATAAATACATTTTGGCCCAAGTTTTAAACTTATAGACACAAATTTACATTTTTGAAAATTGGTGAAGCAATATGAGTTTTTTGTCTGTGCAAGAGAGCCAGGAAGTTGATGCTGATTTGTTCTGAACTTTTCCACATGAATTACCACTGGTTTAAAGAGTTATTGATTCTCAAGTTCCTGGAACTGTTGTCCTAGTTCTGGTAACTTGAATAGTATTTAGTATAATTGGGAGGCTAGAAGAAGTAAGAGACTACATGACATTTATTTATTCATTAAAAAAATTATGGCAGAATTGTAAAATAAAATTAGCTGGGGTTAATAGAATTGTAAAATAAAAGTAGCTGGGACTACAGGCGTGCATCACCATGCTTGGCTAATTTTTGTATTTTTTGAGACGGGATTTCACCAGGTTGCCCAGACTGGTCTTGAACTCATGAGCCCAAGCAATCTGCCCGCCTTGGCCTCCCAAAGTGCTGAGATTACAGGCGTGAACTGCCGCACCCGGCCAGTGTAATTGCTATTATAAAACTTGGTTTTCCACTGAGTGGTATTAGTTACATTATATTTTGTTGTTTGCAGAATTTTTTGAAGCATTCTATATCCTACAAAAACCTAGTTAAAGCACTGATGCAGATAGAGGTGTTTGGTATATAACAAATCTTGTGCTATTCCTACTTAAATTGATGGTGCGTTGTTCTAGGTGGAAAACAAAAGTTGCTCTAGCAGGAAAATTGACTTGTTATTCTTGCCTTCTCCGATGTCAGAGACTTATCTTTGGGCGATTTTTCCTTTTTCCTACCACAGGTAGAAGAAGAGTGACTGAGAATAGCTGATACATTTTTTTTCCTTTCTTATTTTATTTTATTTTACTATCTCATGCCCCAGATAGATTGTTTATTCAGTAGAATTTGTGGGAGGATGCTGGGGATGGAGGGAGTCAAGCACACCACACTTCATTATTGTATATCATAGTTATCACTTTGAATTCTACAAGACCAATGTAGAAATGTACATTTAAGAAGTGTTTAGGCCCTATTAAGTGGCTCATGCCTGTGATTCCAGCCCTTTGGGAGGCCAAGGCAGGAGGATCCCTTGAGCCCGGGAGTTTGAGGCTGCAGCGAGTTATGATTGTGCCACTGCACTCCAACCTGGGCAACAGAGTGAGACCCTGTCTCAGAAAACAAGAAACAAGAAGTGGTTAATTTATATAGCATTTTATAAGAGTGGAACAATTTTAATAGTCAAAATACATTATAATATGGGAATGGTGAAATTAATGATAATCTATGTGGTGGATACAGCTTCTAAAAATCATTTTTAAAATGTACTGACATAAGAAAGTACAATATAATGTTAAGAGAAAAATTAGAATATAAAGAAACATATAGGTATAGATGGCAAAAAGATTTGCAGGAGATATATAAAATAGTAAGAGATGCTATCCCTGGGTGATAGAATTATAGGTAATTTTTATTTTAGTTTTTGTGCTTTTCTCTGTTCTGAATAATTACTACTTTTTTTTTTTTTTTTGAGACTAGGCCTGGCTCTGTCACCCAGGCTGGAGTGCAGTGGTACGATCTCAGCTCACTGCAACCTGCACCTTCCAGGCTCAAGCCATCCTCCCACCTCGGCCTCTCAAGTAACTGGGACTACAGGCATGCGCCACCATGCTTGGCTAATTTTTCTGTTTTTTGAGACGGGGTTTTGCCATGTTGCCCAGACTGGTCTTGAACTCGTAAGCCCAAACAATCTGCCCGCCTTGGCCTCTCAAAGTGCTGAGATTACTGCACCTAGCCAATTATTACTCTTTTAATTATGAAAAAGACATTGAAATATTTTCAAGGGTCATAGGAGAAAATACTGAAAATCCCAAATAACTATTGTTACAGTAGGAAAATTATCTTAAGGTTGTTAGCAAAAGTAACCCAAAATATCATGCTTATTTTCATTATACAATAATAGACACAGCTTGTAATTTAGATGAAGACGTTCTCTTAATAACCAGCACTAACCTTGTAATAGTTTTACATATGTGGATTTTTGTGTCTTTAAACATTGCTTCCCACCAAGGTTTTTCTTTCTTCCACCAAAGCTGTTCTGTGTTGACAGTGCCGCCTGTTGATGGATTCCTCTACTTAGTCATTTCCCCATTACTTCGTCAGTCAGTAGGCAATGGTCTTTGATTATGAGATGCCAGATAATTTGCTACTTACTGAGATTACAAAGGTAAATAAATGAATAGTGATTTCTGGCCTCAGACCCTGGGTCAGAATTTTTTTTTGCTTTTTGGACCATCAGTACATATTGTGTACTCAGGTTTTCCTGTTTCTCTGCCAATAGCCTGACACCTCAGGCAGTATCTTTTTCCTGGTGCTCATATGCTTTTGTAACTTTCTTCATAGGAATGTGTGCTGTGAGTTCTAGACAACAAATTTACAGATACATTTTTGAAACATTACTTGATTATAGGTTTGGGAATCCTATAGTTAGAAGGGCTGCCTATATGTTCATCTATGGCTGTTATTATTTTTAAAATGTGTGACACTTTCTTAGTTCCTTTGTGCTTTCTTCTGTTAAAAATCACAAGTAGAAAGCAAGAGAGAGAGGAGACAAAGAGGTAGAAAGATATCAAGGGAATTTTCCTACTAGTGTTATACTTTATTTTCACTGAGAATAGTGAGTCATTAAAATGTATAGTAAGAGATACTGTTTCTGACATACTTTGTTAAAACCTGTCTCTCTTGATCTGTGTAAAAATGCATTTTCCATATGTATGTTAAAGTGTATATACATATATAAGCTCACACAGTTTAGCTGTTTTTGTTTTCAAATGAAAGCTGAAATATGAAGATCAGAACTTTATTAAATTTCTTAATTTTGTTGTAATATTGTTTTGTAGATGAGAGATTTTTATTTTTGAAAAGTTTTAAAAATAAATAGCAAAACTGTATACACCCACATACTCACATATAAAATGTTAACATATTTCATTTTTGCTTCAGATATATATTTAATTTAAAATAACTATTTATATCGTAGTTATCACATTGAATTCTAAAAGAGCAGTGTAGAACTTTATACTTTCTTGAATATTATAGATCATGTTAAAGTCCCTTTTGTTCTCCCCAGTTTTATCCTCCTCACCTTCATCTCCCCTCGCAGAGGAAATTGTTGTAATGAATTTGGTTTGTATCCTTCTAGTTTATTTTTTAATAAACTGTATGTATGAACAATGACATGGCATTGCTTTGGGTGCTTTTGAAGAACATGTACATTGGAGTACATTTCAAATCATATTCCTTTGGTGTGAATATTGACTCTGCTACTTAATTTTGTGACCTTAGGTAAGTTATTTAATCTTTACATGC